CGAAAGCGTCAATTTAAAAACTGACAAAAACAGCAGCAGACCACGAAGACTGAATCCATAAAAATGCCGAACACCCACCAATAAATTCACCACAACACTGCGTTTGTTCAGAAATAAACCCTTATCTCACGAGTTACGAAACACACTTTTTGTCTATTCTCGAGTGTCTGGACAACATTAAAAACTGGGGGGAAAAAAATAAGAAAAAAATTCCCCCTTGGAGATAACCCTCGCTTGTTCCCTAACCAGAAACAGGCCGTGTATCTCGCTATCGCCGTCACGCACCAGACTCAATAATATACAACAACTCTCGTAATTTTACCTTGCATAATCGCATCCGAACATCATAAAATAAACTCACCACAACATTTTCACTTGTCCCAACAACCACCAACTCTGTTCTTGGGCTCAAAATAATACCATTACATTACTAGACGATAAGTGGAACAACGATAGCTATTCAGTATGTACTGCACACCACAATCTACACACTTGGCCACGACAGGCTTCCTGTAAAGCAAAAGCCCGAGCGAGGCTGCCATCAGCAACCCATAGGCAAAGGGAAGTGTCAACATACCATTTTCTGGCCCACAGGAAATACGTTTCTCTCTTTGCTACTTATTAACTGCTGTCACAAAAGCCTCCACTATATACACCCTTCTAACGATGCAATGGATCCGCAGCTCCACGGCTCTCGGTCAGTCCGAATAATGTTACAGTACGCTTCTCACCCGGCACGCAGAGCCATCACATGCAGGGAAACCTCTACACCGTCTGTTCCATTTTCTTACTCCTAAAACAATTTTCTTTTAATAATCGTGTGACTACACATATGTTTTTATTCCCTGTTATATTAAAGTTGGTGGTCTACTACCGGAGGCCGCTCAACACCGTTACCCATCTCCTGCCAGAGTCCCCCTTCTGATTTACCAACCAGGGCTAGGCTGTTGGTGTTTGGCTGGCAGAACGTCGGCGCTCCCTTGTTCCACTGACGGTTTTCTTGGCAGTTCCACGGTGAACAGAAGTAGCAACCGACCCTCACACACAGCCAGTGTCTGCGACCAGCAGACTGCACCTGGAGCTGCTGCACGCAGAAGAGGAACCACTCTGAGATGGCCACATTTGGCCAGTATAAGTCAGAGCTCCTTGTATCGCAGAAAAGAAAATGTAATGACTTCGAGTGACCATCTCGTGGAGCATCAGGTTCACACATCACGACGCCTCTTTCCTGGGCACCACTCACCTGACTACTGCCCGGCTGCAGTATCGCCTCCAGTCAGCTCCTTCCTCGTTTTAGAGGTCTGATCACTTGTGGTGGTGCTCGCTGTCACCTGTGACAGAGTGACAAATAGTTCTTTTTACAAATGAAAGGGAACTTCAGTTAGCATGTTGTAATTCGCTAGTCCCAAGTCTTATGCCCCTACTTGTCATACTTCTTACCACTCTTATACATTTTAGAGGGGAAATTCTATTCTTCTTATTTCATCGGCTATTTGTACTCAGGTTACCTCTACTCAAAACCATATGATCAACTTATTCAAAATTGCCTACATCGAAACCACAACAACCACACAAGAGCACACCTCCGAAGACAATATTACCACTCTGCTGTCCGTAGAAACATTATGCTCTTGTAGGCAAAAGTAACAACAATATATCATATTGTACAGGATCCTCTTGCAGACACACTCCTGAAAGAAGCCCATTTTGCTGTAATACCTTCTGATCTTAATATTTCTTCCCACACCCGGGCTAACACAGACTGTTTTTCAAATATTCTAGGCTTACCCATTACCACTGCACACCCTCTCCGCACCCCCCCAGGGCAACACCATTTTTGGAAACCAAACCAATAATCACCAACACTGGTTTGTTCAGAATAAACCCTTAATTCACAGAGTTAGAAAACATTTTGTTATTCTGAGTGTCTGACAACATTATGGAAAGGATCCCTACTGAGATAAACCTCGTTGTTTAACCAGAAACAGCCGTAGTATTGCTATCGCTCACCACCAGACTCAATATATAAAAACTGTAATTTTACCTTGCATATCCTCCGAACATCATAAAATAAAACTCACCAACAACATCTTTCCACTGTCCCAACAACCACCAACTCTGGTTTGGCTAAAATAAATCCTTAATTCACTGACGTAGATGAGAAAAACAGTAGTTTCAGGTGTACGCACTAACATCCACACATGGCCAGACAGGCTTTGTAAACAAAGCACAGAGAGGCTGCCATAGCAACATAGGCAAAGGGAGTGTAACATAATTTTCTGCCAAGCAAATAGTTTTTTTTTGCTACTTTATTAATGTTCACAAACTCATATATAACCTTTAAGATGCAATGATCCTGCAGCTCCACGGCTCTGGTCAGTCGAATTATGTTAAGTAGTTAGTTTAGGCACAGAGGTCCTGCAGGGACGTTAACTCTCACGCTGTTATTTTTTTTCCTAAAACAAGTTTCTTTTGAATAATTGTGACTTACACATACTGTTTTTATTCCTGTTATATTAAGTCTTGTGTTAGGCCATCAAAGTTACCATCTCTGCAGAGTCTTTGATTACAACCAGGCTGCTGTTGTGTTGCTGGCAGAACTCGGCGCTCTTGTTCCACTGACGGTTTTCTTGCAGTTCCACTGAAAAGAAGTAGCAACGACCCCTCCACCACAGCCAGTGGTCTGGACACAGACTGCACCTGGAGTCTGCACGCAGAAGAGGAACACTCTGAGATGCCACATTTGCAGTAAAGTCAGACGTTTGTATCGCAGAAAGAAAATGTAAATGACCTTGAGTGACATTGTGGAGCATCAGGTTCACATCACGACGCTCTTTCTGGCACTGCTGCAGTCGCTCCATCAGCTCCTTCATCGTTTTAGAGGTCTGATCCACTTGTGGTGGTGCTGCTGTCCACGTGACAAGATGACAAATATTCTTTTACAAATGAACAGGAACTTAGTAGATGTTGTAATTGTAGTCCAGTTTATGCTACTTTATACTTTTACTCTTCTACATTTTAGAGGGAAATTTATTTTTTATTTCACTGCTATTTGTACTAGTTACTTATAAAACATATGATCAACTTATTAAATATGCTACAATGAAACAAAACACACAAGAGAACCCCTGAAAGAAATATTAACTTGTGTGTAGAAATTATGCTCTTGTAGGCAAAAGATAACAAACAATATATCATATTTCAGGACTTTTGAAGAACACTTGAAAGAAGCCATTTTGCTGTAATACTTCTGATCTTAATATTTCTTCCACCGCTACACAGATGTTTTCACATATTCTGGTTAATTACACATTCGACAGCCAACATTTTGACTAGGTGTTACTTATAACATTAGGTGTGTGCCAGTGAGCCAGCATGCACAATACAAGGATCCTGAAACTAAAGCAGCTAAATGGAGCCATCATTAATTGAATTATTTAAACCTTGTTTTTTTCATGTATCAGTAAGTAGAGGATATAATAAAACTTAAAATATATGTGATGAGTAAAGAAACAGAGAAAGGCATTAGACACACATAGAAATAAACTAACATATCTAAAACTTATGATCTCATATTAATTGTTTTACTTACTACATAATACCAAACACAAAATAAGTCCGGTGACCAGGATTGTTGTTGCCATAACAACAGCCACAGAAGCTGCCTGCTGACCGGTGGGCCGACATCTTGTGCCTATAAAGGTAAAAGTAAAAGTCGACATGACACAAATCATTTTAAAATGATCATTTTCAACATCATTTGGAAGAAATATTCACCTTTATCAAAGATGGCTGGTTTATGTTTCACCTTTTGACCTCTGACCCTCATTAAGATAAAACTGTGACACTGACACTAAGAAAAATAAAAGTAAAGTTTGCAACCAGAGAAAACCGCAGATTTGGTTTGATTTGTTCAGCCTGTTAGAAAAGGATCTAGGTTGTTCTTAAAGTTTACTGCTTACATGAATATGGAGAAAAACTCTATATATGGTCAAACTCTTCATATATAAAGTACAGTTTAGTTGTTGCAGGAGTTTTATAACTCACCTGCAGATGTTTCCCTCACAGCATCCACCTGGTTTCTCAAATCCATGCAGCTGTTTGATGCTTTTTGTCCTTTTACTTCAACTCTTTCACATGCTTGTTCGCTCATTTTCACCCAGAATGTCACCACTCTGTCCCTTCCTCATTTCACGAAGGAGCCCAAAAATGAAGTTTAACAGAGGAAGTCAACAGGGCGTACATGCAGTAACTTTTTATAACAGCACCATCTCAGACCCAGGATGTGTTATTTGTGCAGATGTTTATAATCTATTGATTATCTTCTCATTATCAAACAAAGTCATCGGGCCAAGGTGATAAAATTTGTTAGTCGTTGATAAAAGCTGCATTTATTGAGCCCTGAAACTGTTATTACTTGGAAATGGGAGTGTGTGCAACCTTTTATTTTACATGTTAATAAAACTGGGCTGTAAATGCAGGAAACAATATTTTTGTAATTGCCGCTACACGACAGAGGAAACGGAGAAAAGGCACTGTGGTATTATCTTTTGCTCAAAAGGTAGAAAACCTACAACAAACAAGCACTGTAGTCAGTGACTACAGGATTACCTCAATACTAAATATGCATAGAAGAGAAAAGACACATCAATGAGATGACTTCTACGTATTCTACAGGACAACAGAACAATGTAACCTTAGAAAATCAAATGGAAATCACAAATATGTTTTCTGCTCGGTTTATTTTGAAGGACAAACTTGCTTTTCATGAAGCAACTTCAGGCAGCGGCCCAGAGACCATTTTTAGAGCTGGAAGGCAGAACTTGCCCTGCACTGTGATGTTGTTCCCTTTTCTGCTGTAAAGACAGAATAAAGGTGAAGTGAAAACATTTACTGAATGTGGCCCCTTTCACAAGAGGCCATATGATGAATTGTGGACTATAAGATTAGCTGTGGTGTTGTAATCTGTGCAGTACTGCACATGTGCATGGTAGTATATTGTTTTTTACTTTATTTATCCTGCTTAATAATTCCCAAGTTTTACTTAATGTACTGTAGCTGTAATTTGATTGTGGTTTGATTTGAGTTTCACTAGCAGACACCCTAGAGCTGGCATAAATCAGCGGGATGACAACAATAAGCAGGGAGCTCTGGGTGCAGGCAACATGCTCATTTGCATATACCACCCACACTGTAATGATACAAAGGCTGTTATTTATCTGAGGTCATTTCTGTAACCATAGTTCATTATAAATTATGTCTTATTCACAATAAGTGCATGGAGAAAGCAGTCAAATTGGAGTTCACCTTACACAAACACTGTATTTAGTGTAATAGTATTATGTAAGACTTTAAACGAGGTCGCTGTAATGTGTCAGCTAGAAAACTTTATTGAGCACTGCAACAATAGAAAGAAAATGTTAGATCATTTATAATGTTTTATTTTTTATGTAGTTAGATACAACATCAGACACACATTTGGAACATTTAGAAAATATAAAACATTTATAACATGAAAAAAACTGATGCTCACGGTAAGTTAACCAGAGAAAAAATATATAAAAAGTAAATAAAAGTAGGAGAAAATCTGAAATATACTTTTTACTTTATACTTTATTTTTTATACCTTTTTATCAAGAAATTTCAGAATATAAAAGAGTCAATACACATAAGAATCGTAATTTGATTAAATTCACATTCAGTCACATCAACAATTATGACTTCTTAATTATTCTGAAAACAAAAAGAAAGACAACACTTCGAAAAACCATCACCGATAACATTTAAAATTGAATATATAATAATAATATATGATGTTCTTTGAGTTTTCAGGTTTCAGCTTTAACCTGTTCCAGTGTCCATATTATACTGTCACTTAACAGACTTTTAAAATGTGCCTTCAACTGCAACAAAACAGAGGAAAGGAAAGAAAGATGTTAATGGCCACAGTTTTAAAAACAACTTTTTTTATATAAAACACTAAATTGAGCCATTCTACTCCAAGTAATCACTGCATGTCCTATTTATTTATTTATTTGAAGAAGAAAGAAGAGCATCTTGAGGAAAATAGCACCTTTTGCTCCAGTTTACCAGAAAGCCCTGTATTTGTTTTTATTTTTATGTACATATGGTGTTTGACATACCTCTTCAAATACATTTTTCCTCGTGGATGCTTTATCACAGAGGAGAGATTGTGCTGAAGAGCACATCATAGACAGATGGATTTCCCTTGGCTCTGTAACTGAGGAACAAACAGAGACTGTGTGAGGAGGAAGCTAGAACAAGGAAGCACACACTCTTTATGCTGTAAAATTTGCATGTGGAGGAAGAAATAATGTCCACTGTGGTCAGACGCAGTTTGTTTTGTCGCCTGAGTTACCAGTTATATACACATGGACTTTCAACAAACTTCCTTTATTGTTCATAAGACACACCACCACCTGGCACTTTATGCTGACGACATTTTAGTCTTTCTCAGAGACCCTTTGCAGTCCGCCCCCCACCTTTTATCAATGTTGGATGAGTTTGGCGCGCTATCAGGATTCAAAATCAATTGGTCAAAGTCAGCTTTGCTGCCATTGAATGAAGCGGCCAAGACCTCTGCTTTGCCTTCCAATATTCCCTCAGTTACACATTTTAAATACCCGGGCATTGAAATATTAAACCTCTCTACATCTTATTGTGAAGCACAATTATACTGAGACACTGAACAAAGTCTCAATTTAGAAAGATGGGCCAGCCTGCCCAACTCACTCTAGGCAGGTATTTCTATTGTCAAAATGAATGTAGTGCCCAGAATAAGTTTTGTCAGCTCCATGGTCCCCCTCTCTCCCCCTGCTGGATACTGGGGTAAGCTTCATGCAGCTGTTTCAAAATTCATATGGAATGGGGAGAGACCCCGCCTTAGATCTGCCACTGTCCAGCGCAGGAGATTAGATGGGGGATTAGCGGTGCCCAACTTTAAACTTTACCACTGGTCCTTCACTCTTAGACCCCTTGTCACATGGTTTGACTCTCAGACGGCAGTTTCTTGGCATACAATGGAAGAAAGAATGGTGCACCCGTGGTCTTTGGCAGACGTTTTATTTGCAAATATCTCTGTAAGGCAGAGTCAATTACGTTGCGGCCCCATTGTGACCCATCTGATCCAGGTTTGGCGCTCAGTGGAAAGGATTTGTGATATATCTTGCAGATGGCACCTTTTTAATAATAAAGGTTTACTGATCGGGGGGAGACCTGTCACCTACTCTCAGTGGGAAAAGGGAGGGATACAGTTTTTGGGTGATATTTTCGGCTTAGATGGTTTACGCTCCTTTCAAGACATTAAGAATAGCTTCAATCTGCCAGGCACTTCTTTTTTTATTTACAGCTGAGAGCAGCTCTTAAAGCACACGGTGTACCTTGGCAGCACCCGCTGCCTACACATCCACTTCATGAAGTGATTGTTACTAAAAGAGCTGCGAGGGGAATGGTATCCACTCTACACTTATACTTGCTTGAGGCCACCTACAAAACGCTCCCAGTAGACAGGATACGGAGGGGTGATGTCCCCGGACTGGAATTCAGGATTTTGATTGGGCAAGGTGTGGTCAATATCAGAACTCGCTCTCGAAATCCTGACCACCCAGCAGATCCATTATAATTTCATACACAGGACCTACCTGACCCCTCGTAAGCTACATTTTATGAAAGTTATCAATGATCCCTCATGCACCCTGTGTACATTAAAAACCACTGGCACTCCCCCGTTGCTCAATTTTAGCAGGGTGTGGCCGCTGAGCTGATGGCACTCATATCGGAGACAGTGCCTGTGACCATACCAGTGTTATTATTAAATGATCTTTCGGCACTTCGAGTACCTGAATGTCAGAAACGTGTAATGTTGGCAGGTTTAACAGCTGCTAAGAAAATGATCGCAGTATGCTGGAAGCCCCCTCACACTTTGACCATCAGACAATGGGTTTTAACTTTTCTTGATGTTACGTATGTGGAGCTGTCGACAGCCCTTATAAATGGGGCCAAAGAGGTGAATGTGAATATGTGGTTCACTACGGCTGAAGGATTGAAGGGCTCACTCTGATCCTTGTGGTCCGTTGTGTATCTGATCTACTTCACTTGGCATCTTGAATCACTCAATAGGTCTATATTGACTGTTGCACAAGTCCCTTTTTTGTTTTTGTTTTTCTCTTTTTGTTATTGCTGTTTGTTTTAAAAACAAAAATAAAAATTTGATAAAAAAAGAAGAAAAAAAAAGAGAAAGGCCCACAGCCTTGAAGATCTCTATTTTCATTTTGTGTTCAAGCAGCAGTGAAGTCAGAATCTGGTGGCCATTAGAAGAACTACATTACTACATTGTATATTAGCTGCAACATTGAGTCAGTGATCACCCTCTCGTTTGAATACATAAGTAAATAAAATATTTTAAATTAGCAAACTTTCCAAATGTGGTTGTATCAGAAGCTATTGTAAATATTGAAACAGTAAATAGTGTGTGAGTGCATATGTGTGTGTGTTTAATAATGCAGCCACTAATAAAGGTCATGTAACAAATGGAAACCACCTGATGGTGGTGCTAAAGGCAAGCTAATACA